AGAAAGGAAGCAAACATGCACCATATTTAAAAAATAAAAAAGACAACAGTACTGTATATGCAGTGTGCTATGTTTGTTTGTTCCAACAGCTGTAAGCTCAATTATTTAAAAGGACATGCTATTCCAGCTTGTGTGCAGCGCTGTCATTTGTTGAATTTAGCTGAGCCCTCATTGCTCAGTGCTGTCTGAACCTTTGCTGAAGTGTGTGTGGGGAGGAGGCTGCTTGGAGCTGGTAGGACTCCAGGCTGGATGTGGCTCTGGGCAGCCTGGTCTGGTGGCTGGCAACCCTGCCCATGGCAGGAGGTCTGAAACTAGATGATCATTATGGTCCTTTTCAATCCAGGCCATTCTATGATTCTTCACAGTCCTTTCCTGACATTTATTCTTAGGAGCATCATGTCTTCTGATGGAATAACAGGACGTTCTTTAACCGTTAAAATAAAACTGACAGGCAACATATTTCCGTCAGTATTTCAGGACAAGAGAGTAATGATACTTGGAGAAGAGAGCTGATTGACTGGATTAACCCAGAGCTGTGCCTCTTATATTCCCAAGTTACTTTCTCTTGCTCCCTTTTATGTGGTACAGCATGAGAAGTACAGCTGTGTTCTCCAGTGGCTTGCTTTAAGCAGAGGAACCTCTTAGTAGTAGACGCTGGCAGCAGTGCAGCCCTTTGCCCCCTGTCCAGCTCTGGGATCACTGGGATCACATGGTGGTGGCCCTGCTGGCTGAGTGGAGCATCTGGGGCAGGAACACTGGTGGCATTGAGAGAGGGGCTGAGCCAAGGGCTACACAAGTGGGTGCCAGAGTAATGTTCAAGGGCTGATCAAGTGAAAAATAGCATTTGTGAATGCTCATCATCTCTTAAATCTAAAAATCTCCAATTTTCTTCTAAAAGCCTTAATAGCTAGACTATTATATAAACAAGACTTTGATTTTTCATTTGCATGCTACAAAACACTCAGTGTTCTTGTGTGTGAAGAAACACTTTTGCAAATGTGAAAGCTCAGAACTGAGGAGCTAAAGCGGGGAATCTGAGTAATGAATTTAAGGCCTGCCTGATGAGTTTTGAATGCTTATCATTAGCAACAGCTCTTAAATTCTGAGTAAGTCATCGGGGCTATCAGTAACAGCAAGAGAAGAAACCAGAGGAAATGACTTTTCCCCACACGTACATTAGACCACCAAAAATAACCACCACCCACGACTCCCGGCAGAGATACCGGTGACTGCAGAGCGTGCGTCCTTACTCGGGACAATTAATGAGCTGTTTGTTACCCTGACCGTTGCAGGGGGAGCACTTGAATGTTTAGAGCATGTGAGATAATCCAGAGACATGCTGCGCAGCAGTAGTCACTACTTATCTGCATTCCTCCTAAATAGGGCTCTAAATCCACTGTGCTCCGTTTCCACACCAAGTAGGGAAGGAGCTGTGGCCCTGGGAGAGATGTGCTGGGGGTGAGAGGGAGGAAGGAGTGCTGAACACCCGTCTAGAGGTACAGAGCTGGCAAGGAGCTGCTGGACGTTACATACAGGCGTTGGCATCTTCAGCATTACAACTGCTGGCTTATGCCCTTAGGAATTCATCACCTTTCGTTGTGTTTTGAATGTCTGCAGCTTTGTTGCTATGTCTGTCATATTTCAGGAAAGGCATAAATTCAGACCTGGCAAGGAGACAGTGATCTGCTCCTTACAGCAGGGACCTAGGAGACACTGTGGTGGTTTTGTGTGGGAGATCGGTTTTTGTTTTGCCTGATTTGATGGTACTGTTTTTCAGTTTCTAAGACTGGCACAAGGGATCCAACCTTTGATTTCCTTCAAAAGATTCAGTCCTGAAATATGACTGTGCGTTCTGCACATGTCTGTGGGGTCTGTGTGATCATTTCTACAGGAAGGAGGAACTGAGAGCAGCAGATGTTCCCAGATTCACCTGCCTCTGCAGCCCATGTGCAGCCTGTCCAACCAATCTGGCAGGGCTGCTCTGCCTGAGGATGCTCTCGCAAGCACAGACAGTGTGCTGACTTACAGCACATATCTTCCCAAATGTTACAGAGGGCAATGCAGGGGGCACCAGGCCAGGTGTGCTGTTGGACTAAACAGAATCTGGCCCTGAGAGCAGCCTTAGACTAGACAAAATACAAGCATAACAGGACTTCAGTGAATGGTTTAGGTGAAGCCTATGGGAAACAGGGTGCAAAAGGCACCAAGGCACATTCTCAACTTCAAACATGCTCTGTAATTTTCTCAATCTAAGCAGCAGATTGTTTTTGTACCAGGCTGCAGTGAGTCTGCACACAGACCCTCAAATGACCTAAATCAACTTTAAAATGGAACCTCCAGAGTTACAGTAGTTGGAGTGCTCTAGATTGCATACATTAACCCTCAGCACACCAAACCCATTCTTTTTATGGGAACCTATATTAAGTGTATGTTCATGAGTGCTTAAATAATACTGGTTAGTTTCACGGTTAATGAACGCTGAATGGTTGTTGTTTTAATTGGATTCTGTAATTGCAACTAAGTGTGAGTATATGGGTGTAGTCGTTTTTCTAGATCTAGTTCTAATGAGTTTGTACACCACCTTCATTTAATTTAGGAAACTTATTCCTTTAATTACAACTGAGTTTCTGATCTCAAATCGCTTCTTGTGGAAAAGTAATTTGTTCTTTTAAGGCCAAATAATTGAGCTTTTTTTGTGTGTGAGTTCTTTGCTGAATGCCTTTCTTAGCACGGTGAAGCAAGTGCTTTATTCTGTAAGCAGTGTCATGACTCTCAAATACAAAAGAAACCATTGAAATCAGTTTCCTGGCAGTTGTGATGTCACATTCTAAGTGGAGAAGAGACGCTTCAAAATGAGTAAGGCACGGGGTCAGAGAAGTACTTGCTCAGATACTGCTACTGAGAAATGTGCTCTACCACCATATTGCTGAGAACCTGGCCTTTGCCAGGTGTGTGAGCTTAGTGTATCCTGCCAGAAGGGTAGCATGCTGGAGTTTGTTGGGCCTTTTAAAAATCTTAAATAGCAGAGGAAGACATGCAACCTTTTGGGGATACTCAGTGTAGAGGAAATGTCCTATTGACCTGTACATATCCCAAGGAGAGGGCCAGTGTTGTGCTAGTACTTCTGAGTACTAGCAGCCTCCCTCAGTTTCACAATGTTTTTATTTCTAAAGCTGAATTGAGACTTAACTGCAGTGGTTTTCTCCCTGCTCTATGAAGGAACTTGTATTTTTCCAGTAAGTTTAACTGATAATAGTTTTCCATAGCTAGACGAATGTGATATTGCTTCTTACTTCGCCTTGATAATCTGTAATTTTAGCTCATTTATTTATCCTTTACCTCAACTAAGGTAATTACTTTCTGTAATTGAAGCTTACAGAGATCAGAAAGATCATTATTAATAAATACATTTGGCCAAATTCTCAGGCTGTCAACCATTACTATTTCAGGGCTCTTGCTTCTAATACGAAATGGTAGGAACAAAAAGCGGGTGCTGTGTTGGCAGGCCTTTTGGTTGTGTTCGGCTTTTGTTGAGTTGCTTTATTTTGTGCCTGCTGCTCCTTTTCTGGGATCAGTTTGGAGTTAGGCTGTGCCCTGCCGAGCCTTCTCCGGCCCATAATGAAGTACCTTTTGTGGGCATTTTAATGAATAAAATAACTAAGTGTTGGCAGCTGTTGCTGGTGTGACATGCCTGAAAGGCCCAGATATCAGCTAGTTTTACAGGTGAATCCATTGTTTTATTTGCCAGCTTAATTTTCTTTACTTTCCTTTTGACTGTCTATGAAATGTGCTCATTATATTCTGATTGGTATGGAATGAATGCTGCTTGAGAATGGGGATGCTTCAGGCAAGGAGGCAAACTGAACTCCCTGAAGACAATTTCCACCTCTTAGATGGTCCCACTACTGCTTCTGCTTCTTCTAACAGGAAAACAAGAAAACAAAAAATGTCTCCTCTGCCACCTTGTTTCTCCAAGCAGCCTGGAAGTAAGGGAAGGGGTTGTATTCCTTCAGATAAGGGTGTTTGTTTATGCACAATTGCACAATTTGTGATACTTACTCCTATTTGTGCCCTGAAAAGCATTTAATTAGCTGGAATCACTCATGCTCTATTTAGTACTAATTTTTTTGGGGAAGTGAGAGGGAGAATGAGACGTGAAATTAAAGAGTTTTTATCAACCTAGACCTCGGGAGAGTTAAGAAGTCCTGGCAAACATAGACTGTTTTGTAGAAATGCTGCTCTTTTTCTTTTCAGACCAACATCTGCAGTGACATTGAAAACTGTTTGTAGTACCAAGTCTTGACCAGGAATAGGCACTGCAGTTGTCCTACATAGTTTCTCATGACTGTGAAAATTTTTTTTTTTCATCTCTGTTCACAATCGGAGATTTTTTATCGCAGATTGGTAACTTCATTGCCTTTGATCCCAGGAGCATTAAAGCTTCTAATTTGAAGTTTCACCTGTTGCAGCCTGTTCCTGATGATACCAGGAACAGGACTGGAAATGGTTGGTGCAGAAGTTAATAAACATTTCTACAAATACTTATTCTTCATTCTAACATCTTCCACCAGGGAGGCTGGTGTTAGTAGGAGTAGCAGATAACCTTGAAATGTGGCAGTGATCTAAGCTTGAGAGTTTTAGCTTAAAAATGGATGGTCTCACTAAGATTTTTTCTTTTTTTTAATCAAAGATGATGGGCTTTTCATATATTAGAAGCTTATCCAGATTTGTAGTGTGCTGTATAGAAACTCTCATGCTTTATTTGGTATGATCCTTAGGTTGGAAAGTTGTATGTATATTATGTGAAAATTTAATTTCTGATAATTACCAACAAAAATGGTAACTGCTGACATAAATACATCTTGATTTTGAAACTCAGTTTCTTGAGAAAATTCTTGCAGTTCTTACCTTGGTTTTTTTGATGATTGTTCAGCATTAGATACGCTGCTGTCTAAGCAGATTTTAAACAAAATAACCACTCTACCTTTCACTTTAAACAGAGATAAACAAAATCCAGAAGTGAAAAAGGCAATTCCTTCTGCCACAATGAGCTCTGGTAAGTCTGTGTTATTTTCTGCTTGTCCTCATTAACCTACCTTTCTATTGCTGGACTTATTCCTAATAGTTTTTGATCCAATTACTTTTTTTTTTTTTCTGACTCTTTTACATCCTGGTTCTCAGGCAAAGCCCTGGCATTGCAGAATGGTTTGGGTTGGAAGGGACCTAAAAATCCCTCGAATACCCCTGCCATTGGCAGGGATACCTCCCACTACACTAGGTTGCTCAAAGCCCTATCCAACCTGGCCTTAAACGCCTCCAGAGACTGAACATCACAGTTTCTCTGGGCAACCTGGTCCAGCGCCTCACCACCCTCATAGGGAAGAATTTCTTTATAATACCTAGTCTAAACCTACCTACCCCCTTCCAGTTTAAAATCACTATTCCCTGTCCTATCGCTATACTTCCTGATAAGGTGTCCTTCCATAGATTTCCTCTTGGCTCCCCTTAAGTGTTATAAGATCTCCCTGGAGCCATCTCTTCTCCAGACTGAATGACCCCAACTCCCTTATCTCCTCTTCACAGTTGCTCCAGCCCTCTGAGGAAAGGCTCAGGGATGCTAACTTTTGGAGACAGAGTGGAATGACTTTGTAGTAGTGTCCTGGCTAGACTTCTCTTCTTTCAAATTGGTCTATAAAGCTCTGACATCTTGAGCCAAAGTTGGTCACTTTAGCTTGTTGTAGTCTGGAATGAGTTCTGAAAGACTTAGATCTGTTTTAATGGAGGTGAGTGCAAAGTTTGACATCTGGATAGGAAAAATTAGCTCTTCAAAGAAAAGTGAGGGTAAAGGAAATGGAGATAGTTGGGGAAAGGACAAGTGTTGGGTTTGTCTGGGTAATAAGGCAAGACTGAAAAAATTAAAGTAGATACCATGCTAAAGTACCATATGTAGAACCCATGGAATAACATTCCCACTTGATTTTAGCACTTTATCATGTCTCAGCTGGAGTATTGTGTCCAGTTTTTAGCACCGCATTTTGAGAAAAAACAGAACCATTTGGAGATCGTACAGAGAAATACCAAAAGAATAACCAGAAGCATGAACTGGGAATTTGACTTAAAAGTTGCAAAAACTTCGATGTTTTAAAGCACTGGAATAAACTGCTCTAGGGTGATACTGTAAAAACCAGTTAGGCAAGCATATGTCAGTAATTACAAAGATAGATACGTATGTCCCTGTTGTGGGTCAGGAACATGGCTTCAGATGACCATTGGAGATCCTTTCCAGTGCTGTCTTGTTTCTTTAAACTCACAAAACTCAATTTGATTCATGCTAACACAGCACATAGCTGAAAAAATAGGGAGTGTGGGCCAGCTCTCTTATCTTTGAGTTTGTACTCACATCTGGCTAACATGGTAGCAAAGAGCATTTATTTTTCCCAAACTAGGGTATTCATGTCCCTCCAAAAATGAAAACAGCATTGAGCTGAGTGCCATCTATACGTATAGAGACAGTCCCTGCTTTTAAAGTGGCTGCAATCCACAAAGGACAAAGAGAGACCTAGGTGTCATCCAAGGGAGATTTATGTCTCCAAGCAACATTTCTAGAGATGGTAGGAGTACTTCCGATCTCCAGAATCAAGTAGCTCAGACCCATAGCACACCCTCATATTCAGATGTGAAATTCAGTTGCAAATACTTGTAAAGTAATCTGCTTCTTGGTTTTCTTGCAGAACGTGAAGAAGTTGATGTTGCAAAAACTGTTGTCAATGGGCTGAGCAGCAATGGACAAGAAAAAGGTGGGTTGAGAGCTTCAGAGCCACCTCTGCAGCTCCCCCTGTGTGTCAGCTGAGTAATGTGGTTGGTTTCCCTGGGCACCACAGCAGTGTTTCCAAATTTAGTTTGCCTGGCGACTGATACAAGAAAGGCCTTGTGCTGCGGCATGCCAGCAGCAGCATTTTTTAGCTGAACAAGCGCTCTTTGTCTTTTAAGCAACAAAAGGTGGCAGGCTGGATTTGCATTTTTGCATATTTTTTGTGCTGTTTTGAAGAAAGCAGTACACTACTTCTAGTACTTGCGAGCACCTGTGTATCGGTATCTTGATGTGTTTAAGCAGCATGGACTTTTGGATGCCTGTGTGTGAACCCTGTTAACTTCAGTGAGAGGTGAAGTTCTGAGCCAGAATTAAAGAGCTGGAACTGATTATGTAATAAAGAAATGTGTCATTAGCAACCAGGGTTTTAAGCCCCAATTTATCTGAACAAACCAGCCTTCGTGTTAACATCAACAGATTTGAAGCATTAAATAGCATTCAGTATTATATAGTGATGGTGTGTATTTTGGCAGGGTGAAAGTATGTGCTTGTATGGGTTGGTTGTCTGCAGGGTTCATTTCCTTTCTTTTCTTTCGATGCCTTTTTACAGTGGTTAGTATTTTGACTGCATTGTGGGTGGCTGAATTCAGTCGGTTGCAAAGCAGAACAGCCTTAGAGTTGTTTCCTAAACCGCAGACTCTTTGGAGTTGAGAGATCTGTTGAATTCAGGATGCTCAGGGAGATGCGTGGAGAACAGAGTTTGATTTGGTTTGCTCTAAGGAAATGGCTTTCAATCCATTCAATCAAATCCAAAAAATCAACAGCTATCTGTGGTTTGAAAAAATTTGTTGAGCTCTTCCTCTAGCCTCTTGCTTGAGAGCCCTTTGCCAGATGGAAGTCTTTGCTTCCCAGTTCTGCCAGGGGCCAGAAGGATCTGCCACCAGGTGATGTGCACGGTGCTCTGAGGTCAGTACCTCTCTCACTCTCACCCAGTGCTCAGATGTGGTGTGAAATGTGTTAGGGATGTGGTTCCTCTTACTCCTGATTTTTCAGGCCTGAAGGAGGTGGAGTGTAGAGGACACCTGCCACTTTCTGGCTAATATTTCCATGCAGAAATCTAATAGATTCTAAAGGAGAAAATCTTGGCTTTGCAGAAATTAACAGCACAACTCACTATGTTGTGTTATTACTGTGTCATTACTCTAGTGGAGCTTTGACTCTGTGGTGTTAATCTTGGCAGATCCTATTGAGTATAACCTATATGTAGTTTCACCTTTTTTATTTTCATCTGTAATAGAGTTCCCCATTAGCAGCAATAAAGAAATGGAAAGGAAGTAGCAACAGTTTTGGAGAGTTTTGTAACCACTGGTAGAATTTTGCACTGTGCTACCTATGATTTTTCCCTACATTATTTTAATATGTAATTTTATTACATTTATATGTATATGTATGTATATGTATATATATGTATATATATATATATATATAATTATATGAAACATTACATTTTATATGTATACTGTAAGTACTATGCTAAGTAATGGTGTGCAGGAGAAATCTTTAATTTACTGCTTTGATAGGTGTATTTTTCTGGACCAGATGTTTGATGCTTCACTTCAGCGTGGAACTGCTTTTCAGGAGTGTTTAATATTTCTGTACTGTTTTATTGCTGAACTTATAAAATGTGCCCTAAAATCCAGAATTCCTGTAGTATGGGTAGTTTTTGGTGTTTCTCTCTGAACCTCTGCCTGTTTTTTCACTTTAACTGAGCCACTGTAAAATTGACTTAACATTTTTATTTTTGCATGTAGTGTATCGCATCTGAATGGTCACACTAAAAAAAAATTATGGCTTCTAAAAACTAATGCTTCCAGGTTTGTTACCCCTGCAGCATAGTGGTGGTCAGCAGTTAGTTGACTCAGTAAGCAGTTCTGTGCGTGCTCTAAAGCAGACGTATCCTGGATTAGGACAAGCGCAGGGATATTTTTAGTGGTTGCATCACTGCTCTCTGGACTGCTTTTGTGTTTGAAATTTCCTGCTATTGTGTCTCTGAGTACATTAGAAAATTTAGTGGCATGATTCCAAACTCTGTTCTTCCCTTTTGGATGTGCCATTTACACTTTTGTGTTTGCAGCTGTTGACGTCCCTTTATACACACGCTCTATTTCTGCCGTTACAATAATCCCTGTGAAGAAAGTGAAAAGTTCTCCTCACCTAGTGCTGCCTACAGGTATCTTTTTCTTACTCCCCCTGCTGTGCATTAGTTGCCATCATTCTCCCTCTTTCTCTCTTTCTTTCTCTCTGCTTCACCCACGTGCTTTGGCTGGCTTTCAGCTTCATCATTCTCACTGTTTCCAGAGCCGTAGATTTCATCAGTAAGTAATAAAGTTAGGTCCTGATGGCACAGTGCACTGTTCTCAATTATGCTGTTTCTCTGCAGACATAATTGTGTCTGCTTGAATCTGGAATCATTGCAAGCTCTTCTAGTGCTTGGTTATGAATGTTGCTGTTATTACAGCCTCATTTTGAACCAAACTCCTGATGAACCAGAGAATGCTTCCTGCGTATCTTTAGTCTTTATGAAAGTAAATAGACATCAGAGGTGCTATTTTACAGGTTCAAGCATAGTTCAGCATCCATGGGGTGGTTTTGTTATTCAGTGCATATGCTGACACTAGAGAAACTTTATGTAGATAAATAAGGATGTCAGGCTCTCTGTTACCCTCTCCCACTAACGTGTTTTCCTGCTAGAATTACAAGATTATTTTTGTTCTTTGCTGGATTTGGGCAGTCGTACCAGGCTAGCTGATACTGCTCGTCTCTTCTAATCTGTCACACACGGGCACTAAGTAAGGAACTTATGACATTGTGTTTGGTACCAATCTGCTGGATCCCTCTAATGAGAAATTTGGATCTTTGTTTTCTCTCTTTTGACTAAATTTATGAGGGCATTTGTCATTGTCAGTTTTATTTTCAACCCTTTTCTAAGTGTTCTGATTTTATTGAGTTCAAAACATTTTTTCAGTGAGTCCTACTGTTTTGATTTGGCTTATGTTTGGAATAAGTTGTATGAAAGTAAACTGCTTTGGTAAGGAAAGTTCTCTGTTTCTTGGCGTACATCTCTGCAGAGGTGTCAGTCCCAAGACTTTCCTGTATCATTAAGGGTTCTGCCACCCAAACCTGTGCGTCTAAAATGGAGCACACGAGCAGTCAGGCACAGAGCACGTACAGTTTTTTTCCTCTTATTATTTCATGTATCCCTAATTCGGAAGTGAGTTATGTCAGTGTGCAATGCAAGGTGTCTGCTTTGCTGTATTGCAGCATTTAGAGCCATCTCTGTTAATTCTGGGCCTTATTCTTCCAGGCTGCATGCTCTCACTCTATTCCAGGTGCACTGTTTATTTTTGCCGAAATGATTAGGAAATACTTTTTCACTTGCTCATCTGCTTAATGACCAAGAATCAAAATGTTAACTGGAAGGGAGAGGAGGGAAAAGAATGAACAGAAGTGTTTAGTAAGGAGAATGTTAGCTGAAAGTGCTGAAGTTTTCTCCACTTGCCCACTTTGCGATAGCCTGGGAGCAAGAAGAGGCTGTGGAGTAAAAAAGAACCAGCCGTATTGCAATCTCTAGAGCCTTCATTCATGAAGATGCTGATATGCTTTTCCTAAGCTTCAAAAATGTTATTAAGATCCGGCCTCTGTGAAGGACTTTAATGTCTCTTGAACCTTAGCCTAAGACTTAGCATAAGATTTGTCTCGAAAAACTACTTTTAATCTGGATGTTGGACTCCAACAGTCCATGGAGAGCGATGAACAGTTCCAGGACCTTCCTCCTCTTGTATAATAGAAGCATTTCTGCTGTGAGCTCTGGATGTTTTTGTGAGTATAGAAGAATGGCAACCGTTCACTCGGTCCTGATAACTCCCAACAAGATGTCTATGCTTCATAGTTACAGTACTCTTGAAACTGGAGTCTCAAAATGTAAACTTTGTTGGTTTGCACATGAATCTGTAGAGTCCTGAGGCTGCGTGTTGTGTAGTGTGGATGTAAGTGGCAGCCAGTAATAGCCCTGGACAAGATAATCTAACCCTACTCTGCATCAAGTGCTTTAGGGCTTTCTCGCAAAGAGTAGCTTCAGGTAGCAGATCCACCCTTAGTATTGGAGAAGAGGTGGAATACATAGGGAGTCAGATGTTTTTTTCCATCAATTCTGTCTTTACTTAATTTGCAGCATTGAAGCAACCTCTAGGAGGGGAAGGACTATCACACAGACATACCAAATGCTTCTCAGTCAGAGAAATCAGCTTCTATTTCAGGAGCCGCATGGGTGACTCTAAGGCATGATCTGTTGTGTGATGTGATTGTGAAGTTAGTACGTTTAAGTTTAAGCAGCATTTGATACATGTGGATGTGCTACCTGAAACAATCTTTTTTGGGAATGTCTTAAAGTTTTGTAAGCCCAAGTAAAAGTGTGAACCATGGAGATTCAGCATTGAGGGTTTCCAGTATGAACCAAATGCTTGATGTGCAGTGAGTCTTCCTGCTTACTGCTCTTATCCATCTGCCACTCTTGATGCTTCGTTATGTTGTGGCAGTGTTTTGCAACCTTGGCTGAGGCATTGTCGTGGTCTGTACGCACTGTCTGGGTGTAGATGTAATGAATGGTGTCTTACTGGAATTAGGCAGTGGATGCTGATCTGCACAAACACAAGCTGTTATCTGGGCAGTGAGCAGCAGCTTCTACCCCTTCCTTTCTGTCTGGAGGCGTAACTGTCATTATGATAACAGATCTCAAAGAGGAGCTCCATCCCTCTGGTACAGAGGGAACTTGATCCTTACCTGTAAATATAAAAAATAATCATGTTGTCACTTGTGCAACATGGCACATCCTCAGATCCCCTTCAGGCTCCCTGTGCATTGTCGTGGAAGGACTAGCACTTCTCCTGAGGTAGGTCAAAGTGAAAAGGCTGATGGCAGCTGCAGGGCAGTAATAGGTAGTGCGTAAGAAAGGGAGGTGATATGTTTTCCTGTGGAAGTAGGTTGGATAAGTAAGAGTCTCTTTAGGCATATTGTTTCTACGTATATCTTAGAGGAAACAACTCTCCGGAAAGATTTTAAATAAGGCAGGAAGATGGCCTTGAAGTTCTGTGTTGTACTTGCTGAATAAGGGGACAGGAGGAAAGAACCCAAATCCACAGACTGAAGTGCACAAGGGTAAACCTGGACAGAAGTTGTCCTGAATGAGCCTTAGCAAGGAAGCTGACATGACCTGGTGTTTGGCTCGCAGAGTCATCTGTTAAATTTCTTTATACTTTATGGCATTTGGGTTCCTACATTGAAAAGATACAACACCATCATGGAATGGGGGAACCTGGCAAGGAGGCAGATCATATTCACAGTTACAAGGTTTTGTGCTCCAGTAAACATAAGACCTTTTTTTTGCCTGCACAAAAGGCATTTTTAAGCACACAAATCATGCTGCTGTATACCACTGGGATATCCAACAGAAGAGACACAGGTGTACTGCTGTCCTGCTGATACAATATTTACACGCAGAGCAGGCCAAATGAAGCAAATGGACCCATGAAATTTGGTTCAACCAATCATCCTTTTTTCCTGCTTTCTTAGCTCTATTACATTGGCACGGAACTTGTTTCTACATTCATCAGTTACTTGAATACAAAACTGCTTTGAATTCTCAATGCTTTAAATCCAGAGCTAATCTTCATCAACATAAACATTACTAGATTGATTCACTCAGAGACAGCCATGCTAAAGTTACTCCACAGAGCTCTGATGGTTCCTAATAGCTTTGTATCATCTCGTTCAATGTGTCTTTTCTGTGCATGTACATTTCCTGTAGAAACAGATCCCACTAAAGTCTGCAGTGGAAAAGGAGCTGTGACCCTCTGGGTATCTTCAACCTCTGAAGAGAATCAGAAAATCTCTTCGCCATGTCCTCAGGATGCTGAGAAACCTGAAAGTAAGTGAAGTGGCTGCAAAGTTATCTGGAAAATGTTGCCTTGTAGTAACATTGTGTGAGGTCAGTTCAGGGTCTTGGGCTGTGTTTTTTGTTGTTATTTGATTTTTAAACTAAAATTTAAAGCCTGAGGTCCTATAGCTGCTGGAAATCTCTTTTTAAAAGCCAGACCAGTTCTACATCTCCAAGGGGAGAAATGGACTCCTATTCTCTTCCAGTGCATGACAGCTCTCTCATCGACTTAAATTTGTTTACAGCTCCCTTTTGCTACCAGCAGCACCAAGAATTCTCATCTAGTTGTTACTGTGGTGATTTGTTGGTTGTTTTGTTTTGTCTGTTCTGGCAGACTTTTATCCCAGCCAAGATGAACCAGAAAAAGGCTCGACAGTGCTGCTTGCTACCACAGCATTCACTTGGGTTGTCAAGGGAGCAGGAGTGGCATCCCAGACATACACTGTCGCCACAGAGCTTTGCCATCATTCAATAGCAGAAGTGTAATTACTTAATTGTAGGAGACAGGCAAAGCATAATAAACCTGGCCAGTGTAATGGGTCTGGCAGAGAGGATGAACTCCCACAGGCAAGATGCTGTTAAGGGGAATGGGGGGTCAAACTTGCTCCTGAAAGCAAAGTACACATCATTTCTGGATGTATTGTTATAAGAAGGGTGATTCCATTAATTCCAGCCCCAATGTGCCACTTTCTGCTCCATCTTCTCCTCCCTTTCTGCTTTACCCTTGACCTTCCCTCTTTTCATGTTCCTGCCCCCCATCATTGCCTCTCACTGCTGATGGCTTCATAAATTTCCAGCAGCCTGAATGGCAGTGAGCCCATTACTATGGAAATGAGGTTGTTAATACTTCCTTTGCTTATTCTCTCAATCACTTTATGAAATGTACTTTGGAGCTGGAAGAGCTTTTTGCATCTAAAAACAAAATGACTAGCAGGGGAGAGGTAGTGGGGAGGAGCCCAGTGGAAGGTGGGTAAAGAGATGATGAAACCAATGTATCTATATGCAGGGACTTGATTGTAAAATGACATTGTTTTGTTTTTAAATTCCTTTCACGTGCATGAACTTAGTGTGCCAAACCTGATCTGTTTGTTGACAGTCCTCTGTCCCAGTTAATCATATGTAGTAGCAGTGACAAGGGTAGAAATGTCTTCATCAGCTTTATCAGAGCTGAATATGGAGTCCCTGTGTTCCCAGTAGTGTATGGTGTTCGGACATGAAGCTGCAGCTTTAGAAAGTAGCTAGCTGGGCTGCCTTTTTGCCTCTGAAATAAGAATGTCAATGAACAATTGTTTCTTCATTGCTCTGAATGAATTGCCTTGTGTTTACAAAGGTCAGAAAGGAGGAGGGCATTGTGTTTGGGGCTGGTCTCTATGGTAATTAGGCAGCCCAGTCAGAGAGCATTTTATGTTTGAAGTGAAGTAACTCAACTCTTTACTCCAATAGGTACATGTTGTCTGTAAATGTAACAGTTTATTTTTATTTTTTTCCCTTCCTTTTCCTTTATGCCTGCCCTCTACTCCCATCCCTTCTGTCCCTCTTTTCTGTGAAATGCTTAGGTCTGGAGCCAGAAAACACAGAAACAGGTACAAACATTGACTACTTACATTGTTACTTCTGCTGCTTTCTTGGAAGTATTTCTTTTTGTCTGGAGGAAGAAAAATCCCTTCCCTTCACTAATTTTGTAGCTGGAGGGAATCCTCTGTCATCTGAATTGCTTTTCTTCTTTCCCTTCTAGATGATTGGAGATCATCACCCAACACTGATGCCAACGGGGATGCCCAACCATCTTCTCTGGCTGCCAAGGGTTATAGGAGTGTGCGTCCGAACCTTTCCTCGGACAGCAAGCCACAGGTAAGCCTTTCTTCTGCGACTCTCAGGGTGATCTTCTGGGTTCAAGCACTGGATTCATGGGCAGAAGTCCCGGGTTGAACTCCAGATTTTGCTGCAGACTTGGGTAAGTTACTGTGCATCAGCTTTTCCTTCCTGTGAAATGGGAACAACACTGATGTCAGCAGAATGCTGTGGAGCTTTTGTGTTCAGAGGGACCACAGTGTTTCCTTGGTGGACGAAGAAGGACAACAATGCTATTTGCTTGCAACAAAAAGGTGAAGTAGCCATCCGTTAGTTTGTCTTCTGTGTTGGTGTATTTTCTAGAGGTTGAGCAGGCTGAAATAAGTTGTTTAGGATGGGCCTGACTTTACTGGGGAAATGCCTTTTAGTTTTAATACTGTAACTGATACAAGCCTTTTAAGGCTGTCAAGGGAAAGATTATATTTGTACCTTGGGATAAATTGTGAAATGAATCAATTAAAAGAAGGTGTAACTTCATCCTTTTGAGTGACTGGTCTGCACAGAGGTGGTCTGAATGCTCATAAGTAAGCCCTTTGTTAGATAATGTGTTCTTATGTGAAATGGATAGCCCCTGAAAACCCTGTCCCCTGTCGGGGTGACTGCTCCTATCATCAGCAACCTGTAGTAATGCCACAGAGCAGACACTGTTCCTAAAATTTTTAAGTGGAAGATGGCACAGCTCAGATGAAGACTTGGGAAGGAGCAGCATCCTAAAGGAGAGACCTATTTTCTGCCTGACATTTCCAGTTGGTCCTGTAGTCACTTGCTGATCTTACTGATGAACAGAGAGAAGACTTAGGCACGTAGTACTCCTTACAGAAGTAGCCAGGGCTACTGTCCAAACTAAGGTGAAATGAACAAAATGAGAAAAGGCAATTGCGAGTAGATAATTTGTATTTTCTCATAATTTTCTCATTTTTCACCGTATAGCAATACAGTGATAAAGTGAGCCTAATACAGGAAAGTTCTGTGGAGCTGACTTCTTTGCATTAAAACTACTTTCTATAAGGAACCAAAAGAGGATGTTCCTGTTCCAAAACCAGAAGCCCTTCAGAAGAAGCACTTTCCAATGCACTTCTGCAATCTTCCCTCATTGGGGATGAAGGTGAAAGAGGAGCAGCACAAGGACAGGAGTAGCTGTAATTTTATGAAAATAGTTTAGATATGTATCCATCTAACAAGAATAGGTGCTGACCCCAACCTGTCATGTGTGGATGTATTTTACAGGTGGTACTTTTTCATGTTTGATTGTTGTGAGCTGTTAGGGAATATTCTGATTTTGACTATTTCAGAAGTGATTTAGCCACTCTTTGCCCATAAAGATAAGCAGTGGTATATATGTATGAAACATACAGCTATAGTTTCCAGAGGGTTAATTAGCAAGAATGCAGGGAGCTGCTGTTCGGTAGGCTGGTGTTTTATTCTTTTCAGCAGCTTATCATTTTTGGCAACTGGCAACCAAGTAAAAAGCAAAATCTCTCCACTGCAGTTATTTTTCTTCAAAACAATCTGACTTTCAGCAGAAATTGACTGTGATTGGAATTGGAGCTGCAATTAGTTGCAAAGTACCAAAACCAGTAATGCTGTCTGCTGCTTATTTTTGTTTCCAGCTCTCCCACTCCTTTAAAATTCACTGGAAAGAGAACTTCTCTGTAGCGATCTTAATTTTGAAGGCAAAATCTTATTAACTCAATTCCTCAGGAAACTTCAATTATTCTGATTTTGTCAAAAGCATTTTTAGGACTGAAAAAATCATGAAAAAAATTCAAGGACCAGCTTTTCAGTAGCAATAAATGCTGACTTCTTACTTGGTCAACTGCAACCTATTGTATTCACATCTGTTTTCATTAGCACTGGCAAAACTTCTTCATGTTCATCTTTTGGCAGTGCATTTATGTGCAGTGGAGGTGGCTCAGAGCTCTGAATTTGGCTTTGCAGTTCAGATGAACCCTGTGCTGGGAAGTATTTGGTTACACTGACATATGCCTGGGTTTAGTTAGGCAGGATATTAAATCTTAATATGGAAATGTGTAGGCAGGGACTTAGAGCTGGGTAATGTTTGTGTGCTGCAGTGAGGAGTGCTGGGAGAGACTCTGTGAGATGATGTGAGTGAGTTCTATACTGGCCTTCCAGATACTGTATTTACTTTTTGTTCTTGCTGTATTAAAACCTGCTTAACCCAAATCTAATGACCAAATTCATTCTTCCAATTTATTTTTCCCTCCTTTTTCCTTTCATTTTGTAATGCTTCCTCTCTCCCTCTCTTGCTTCTTGACTCTGCCTGGGCAGGCCCTTCCTCCTCCCCGTCCTCCTCTCCCCAAGGAGGAAAGCTTTGCATGGCGTCCTCGCACTGACACTAAAGCAACCAACCTGCTGCCAGTGCCCATCATGGATTGTGTGTACCTGAATGCACCCAAGCCTTCTGCTCAGCGTGCATCACTAAATGCCAGCGCACGGTCTTACTTCTCATCACCCACCCCCTATGGGGCAGTCCCCAGCGGGAAGCAAGGCTTGCCAGCAGGGCATTTTCCTTCTTCAGGTCCCAGAGATATGGTGCATGTTGGGCAGCCACTCTTGGAAAGTAGCTCCTCATCAAATGCATCATCCTTACAACGCAACCCTGACAGGGCAGATCCCAGTAGTAAGGCTGGAATGAATTCCAGTCATGAGACGAAGGCGGATAAAAAGGTCAGCAAACTATATGTAGCTTGTTTATCTAACAACACTTGCTCAGCCACGTCTGAAAATTCCACTGGCACCACACATGACCCATCAGCCAGCACCAGTTTGGGAGCTGAGGTCACTCAGGCACCAGCCACCGATATTGTTTTCTCTGCAACGGGAAAAGCTCTTCCTGCTCCTCCTCCTCCTCCTATTCCTCCCAGGCCGTACTTTTACATTGTCCTCAATAAAGACGCAGTTAGTTCTGATGCGGGCCAGCCCTCTTGGACACAGTCATCACCTCCGCAAGCTTTGAGGGACAGAGTGCTAGAGCCCCAGAGCACAGCTGCCACAGAGGACAGAATGAGAAAAGAGCCTTATCTTACCCAGCAGCGGCAGCCGCCGTACAAGGCAGTGGGACGCAGCATGGTACATGTTTTCTACGTAACCTTGTTTTCTTTCAGCCATTTGAATGGTTCTTTAATTCATTATAATATTTCCTTAATGCTTTGTCTCCATCCTTCCTAATTTCTGAGCATCTGGTACACCACCTGAGCCTTTGTGGTCTTCTACTCCATGATGTTTAACACCTCATGTCTCCCCAGCGTTGATCTGTGTGTTTGTGTGTGCATGTTGTTTGTAGGGGGCTGGGTTGGACCGGCTAAGATCTTGCTATTTTAGGGAGGTATAAAAGAAGCAAACTCTGTTACGTGTTGGTTAGTGCTTCTCAAGTAATGGGTGAGTGCAGCACTGTTTTGTGGTTTGATTTAGCCTCTCTGCAAATGACAGGAGAGAGGGGTGGTGAGGGGATGGAAGATGCTATTTTATTCTTTTTTTTTTTGGTAAAAAGTTGTGTGTGCTTACAGAGGCCATTGCTGAAAGACTGAAGAAAGATATTTCTCTAGCGAAGGAAAGTCTTTTGGGGCTTTGTACTATTTGGGGTGCATCCTTGCATGACACTATGTGGCTGCGTTAGACTAAAGTTCCGATCTTCCCCTTTGCATAACAACACCTTGTTTCCTACAGGATGTCACTGCCACCACAACTCAGCCTGGGGTTATAGTAGTCCCCCTTGTCCAGATTAATCCAGACAGACAACAAGAAGGCAGCTCCAGCACTCCTCCACCGCCTCTGGTTCCTTTTGGGCAAGGCTCCGTATTCCCTGAGACTCTTCCTCCTGGCACACCCTTGACTTTTCCGACTCTAGATGATTTCATTCCCCCACATCTCCAGAGGGGTTCCCACCATAACCAAGCACCCTCTGCGTCTGGCACATCACCCTCTGTTTACCCGAAACTTCCATTCTTCTCAACACCACCTTCACTTGTACCTCCAGTTACGGGGGCTTTGCACAGGGGCTTGAAGCCTGAAATCACTGGAGTCATCTCACGTACAGTAAGCTTGCCAAGTACCCTTCTCACTCTTGTCCTAAATTTGTATTCCCAGATTAAAATTACTTTCTTCTTGGCATACTAAACTTGAGAGGAGTGATGACTCACTCCCTGCTAGCAGCATGACAACTGAAACCTTGTTTACATCCTATGCTAGTGCATGCATATTGCTTGCCCTGTGCAGCTCTGGACTTTTTATTGACTTCTCTTGTGCAACATTTGACTGTCTACTTCTGTATCCATTCTGCTAGGTGCTGCACATTTTAGGAGCCTTCACCAGGCTTTGCTAATAATTAATTCTGTGTAAACAGAATAGCTGCAACTAACTGATCTCCTCAGGCTCTTTTAATAACATCGTTAATTGTGTTTGAACAACACTGGAAGTATAATAGCAGACCAGTTAAAGCTTAGGGCTGGCTTTCTGTTCCACTTGGAGTAAGACTGTATGATATCTACAGAAATTCCTGTTGAAGCCAATGTAAGATTGCTGCTGATATCCAATGACCTACAAGCAATACTATCAGTTACTGAGCTGAGACTTTTCCAACTCCGTAGGCACTACGGGATAGGTTAGGATCAGAGTGTCTCTTCAGTACCAAGTTGCCTGTCTTTGAATTCTTCAAATTTTTAAAAAAGTACTGCAATAATTGTAACTTGAACTTTACTGTGTTCTTCCTGGCTTAGATATTTTCTTTTTAAACTCATGACCTTCTATTAAAAAGTCCTTCCAAACAAGGAGGAGAAATAGATCTCAGTTGAAGTTTCAGAAAAAGCAAAAAGTACAAGGAGGGTCAGATACTGGAAGTCTTGAAACCACCAGCTTTTTTATATGCTTGCTCATGGGGGTAAGCAAGAAGCTCAGCAGAACCATCTCTTATGATGGCACTTCCTTTGTCCTTCAACTCTATAGAGGTCAAACAGGTGCCCCAAACAGGCATATGGGCCTTGGGGGGAAAGGAAAAAAACAACTGAGGATGATACTTCAAAAAGTTCTCGGCATTGGCCTTTCTGTTTCTATTGGAATTAGTAGGATTTTACTGCTGAGAACAGTGTGTGAAAAGTGAAAGTATTTTTATGGAGCCTATCTACAGGCACTAGGAAAATTCAGCAGGCATCCAAATACTGAGGTAGTAGTAGAAATTTTGATCTACACGATTTTTATGAGATGAGAGTTTTGAAACTTTATTTTTGTGCATACTCTGTTCATGTGATTGCAGAGCAGTTTTCTTCAGTAATTTTAGTGCTCTTTGCTCACCCAGTTTGATGACTTAGCTGTGACTCCTAAGCCTGACTTGACCTGACACCTTCCTTCTTTTAGGGGTTCTTCATACATTAGTTATCAAAATTAAGCTCAAATGCATCTCTCCTACTTCTCTCCAACTCCCTCCGCCCTTCTCCCAAATTGCATTGCTTGGAATACTATCCCAAGCCAGCAAAATGAGGTTAGGTCTCTGTTTTAGAGACCTTTGGTCTGAAGAACCTTCTGTTCTGTCCTTATGAGTTGTCCATGGCCTGATCAGAATGATTCTTGGAGGAAGAACACGTTCATCCAGCAGAACTGGATTGTTTTGCCCTACCTCCCCTCCAGGTTAGATTAACTGTAGATGCTGCTTCTGTTGATGGCCAGTTCTCACTATAACTTCTTTGAGCTCTGGCCCTTCCTCAGCCCCTTACCTTATCCTGTAAGGCCTTTCCATTGACACTGGTGGGTGTGAGGTGTAATAGTCTGTGTATTTATTTATTTTCAGTACTGACTTAAACTCTCTTGTTTGAATGCTCAGCTCTGTTTCACAGATCAGTGGCCTGCAGCATTCCAGTATGACAGTGGAGCAGCAAGAATGCAGAAATTCCACGTTCACTTTGTTTAGATGCTTATTCCCCATTAACTTTAATTGTGCATCTAAATTCCATGAGAAGTTTTGAAAAATCTCAGCCTAAACTGCTGCACACGTTCTTAGGCCATCAGCCCTTTGTTTTTGTTGGCAGTAAGATAAAGAGAGAGGCTGATATCCTTAGACTGAGGATTTTCAAAGATGAACTAATTTTTAAGTTTCCCTGTGGGCCCAGCCTGTGTTTCTACAGAACGAGCACAGTTGTGGTGATACAAAAGGTGGGTTTGGAATTCATAAACAATGGAGCTTGCTACTTTAGGAAGGCAAGAGTAGCCTGCTATCTGTGTTCTAGCAACAAAGTTATGTTGAGTATCTTCCTTAGTAGAGTCCTACTGTTTGTCATTTCTCTGTTTTTCATGATTTTTTACCATGTAGACGTCACACGGTCTCCTGAGTGATGGTGCTAACCTTATTTCTTGGACCTTCCTTACCAAACCAGCTACAGTAATGTTTCATTCTAGAACTGCATGAGTTTTGCATGCCTGATTCTTGCTGTGAAAGGAATTGTTTTAAAACAACAACCTGCCTCCCCCCC